CCATCTTCATGTTCTTCAGTGAATGAAGCTTAGGCCAGCAATGTATTTTCTCTAATTTTCTCCATTTGCCTGTAATTCTTATCATAAAGAAAAGCCATCACCTACAATGAACACAATTAGTTTAATAGCTTTTAGGACTTGTCACCATTTATTTCATCATGTTAACCTTGGTGGCACATGCTAATCTCTCTTTGGAAATGGATTCCATATTAACATTGCCACAAGATAATTCACATGCTGCTGGTTTTCTTCCCCCATCACACCCCCTTCATTGAACTTACAGTGTTCTTTTCCCAAAAGGCCCTGTGAGAAGGTGTACTGAGGCATGCTTCCAGTGGGGTTCTCCTTAGTCTACTACCTGCATAGCCTATCTCCCCCTGCAGATGCCAGAGATGAAACAAGGACAAATCAGCCAAAACATAAGAGGCTGTTCTGTCTGCAGCCAGAGATGCCAGTTCCTCAAGGGAATCGTATTTCTGCTCCAACGCTGCCAAAGACCACCTTCTAGTAGTTTAATGGTAAGTCGGCTGATGCTATAGTACCTCCGTCACTGTATTTTCTTTGAAGTACCCATTACCAAACTAGCAGGGTACTGTTTATCCAAGGAGAAAAAGGGTGGTAGCTCCCTCTTTAACTGGGACCCCAGCCCTCTGCATGTCTCTCGGACTCAGGACACGTTTGTTCCTGTCCACCTCAGCACTGTCTGTCCTGGAAATATCAGTTGCCCCATGTATTCTCTGTTCATGCATAATCAGGGGCTGACTGTCTTTTAAATATATCCGCATGCCCAAGCTCTCAATTCTGTTCACAGTGAACCCCTGTGAGATGCTCTTCCACTCCTCCTCTTTCTCCAAGGCCTAGTTCTAGGTCTCTTGACATCTAACAACCATTCTCTCCCTTCACCAACGCTGACACCTTTCTCTGAACTCTAAGTCCTTTCTATAGACCTCCCAATCTGCCCAGTCTTTTGGCACCTGTTTCCGCATTGGAGCTGTTACTGTGTTTCTGTGGATAAGTCTTAGCTTCCCAGCCTGTTAGGCCATCAGAGCAGTATCAACCTACTTCAGAGCACAGACTCTGGATTATTTGTGTTGGTATTTCCCTCACCCGCCTTACAGCCAGGTCTGGTACAGTGCCTTGCAGGAGTAGGATTCCATCAGCGGTAAAGCTGTACTGCACATGCAGTACTCAAGCCCAGAGCTTACGAGATAAGTTTAGGACTCCAAACGTGGAAGCTGTGGCTTCTCCAGAGCTCTTGCTCAGCCTCCCCATCCACTCTGGTGCCATCAGATCCTTAGGTTGCACAGGCCAATGTGGCCCTTGGGAACCCAGTGCTGGATGGCAACCACCAGGGTAGGCTCTGTCCATCACCCAGGATCACATTGAGGGTCAAGGATTGAGAGGTCTTTCAGTGGCAGAGAACTTGAGATCACGAGATGGAAAAGACCAAAGTAGGCCCTGCCTTTGCTATATCTCTCACTTGAATTCTTCAGAAATATGAAAAATAACCTTCTTTTCATTCCCTTTCACTTGACCATGGTATTCACAGTTCCTAGCCCTGCCGCCATGCCCTGGACAACCCCCCGCACACCATCCCCTGAAGAACAGTTTCAGCCCCTCCACGTGGGCAGGGGTGGAAAAGCTGTTTATTCAAGAAAAGACTATTGTCTACTATGTGCCAATGAGCAAAACAGACCCCTGACCTCATGGAGTTTACAATCTAGTAGGGGGAAGGCAGGCATTAAACAATACGCATAATCAATAATAGCATTATATAATATGCTAGGAGGTGATTAAGTGTGATGGAAAAGCTCCTGGAGTAGGGTGGGGAAAATCAATATGGACAGTGATGGTCAACAAATCACCTCAAATTTTGTGGGTCACAGAGTTCAAACCTCAGGATAGCTCTTTCACGTATGGAAACGTCACCCTTATCAGCATGAAGGAGGAGCTTTTCCAGTAGAAACTGGCAACTTGGAAAGCTCTGTTGGTGGTAGAAGAGGCTCTTAGACATAGTTCCTGGGATCTGCTCAATGGCATTCATATTAGTTTTCCTAGGATAACCATAACGAAGTGCCATAAACTGGATGGCTCAAAACAACAAAATTCATTGCCTCACAGTTCTGGAGACTGGAAGTCCAAAGTAGAGGTGTTGGCAAGGTCATGCCTCCTTGGCAACCTGTAGTGGAATCCTTCTTTGACTCTTCCTAACTTCTGCTGGTTGCTGGCCATCTTTGGTGTGACTCAGTTTGTAGCTGCATTTCTCCAACCTCTGCCTTTGTCACAGACTCATGGCATTCTCCTGAGCCTGTGTCTTCATATGGTCATCATCCTACAAGGACACCAGTCATGTTGGATTGGGTCCTTATAAGTAGGGACCCATCCTGCTTTAGTACAACCTCATCTTAATTAATTGTATCTGCAATGACTTTATTTCCAAATGACATCACATTCTGAGGTACTGGGGATACACATATCTTTTTAGAGAGACATGATTCAACCATAACATCATCAGATTGGGGAGAAATGGGGTGATGGCCAAAGATAGGGGTACCCTCAGAGATGACAGTCCTGCAAGAGAGAGAGAGCGAGGGTGGCCACAAAACTCCCTTGCAAATGGAAATATTTTCAGAAAGCAAACAATCATGAGCACAGGAGTATGGGTTAGGAAGGCAAGAAGTCTGACAGAGCAGAGTGAAGTGAAGGGAAAGTACGGCAAGAATAAGGAGAGGGAAGGAAGGGGCATCTGAGCCCAGGAAGACACATGGGCAGTGAGAGGCACAGGAAGGGAGGGAAGAACGCACATTCTGAAGGACAGGAAACCACAGATTCAATGTAGGAAGTCTCGGTTTTGCAAGTGATTATTCTGGAGCTCATTAAGCAACTTCCTGCATGAGGCTAGATAGGCAGTGCATGTTCTTTCTAGCAAGCTGGTGGTCTTGCTTCATCTTGGTATAAAAGGTGAAAGAGCACATGGGAGGGGCCCGGAGCCGAGGCATTTTGAGCCAGGTTCTTTGAGCCATAGAGCCAAGTCTACCCTGACAGACACCCCAGCTAGGGGGAGAACAAGACTGCCTGGAGGAACAGAGCTGTTTGCTATGGGAGCTGAGCCCATAGCTTGGCCAGACACCACCTACCCCTACCTCGTACCAGGGAGTGGGCACAGCACAGGTCCTCCCAGCTCTCTCAGGCTCAGAGAGGAACACCATTCCCTGCAGACAGTTAGAATCTTCACTACCATCCCACCCATCTCCGAGGGTGTTCAGCCATAGTTCAAGCCAAGAAGTAATGAGCTGGTGTGGGAAGAGCAGGTTTCTCCATCTGGGGTTCTAGGGAACCGTGTCTTGCTTCCTTCTGTACGCATCTTTGTGAAACATGGAGCTGCTCATTTGTGTCATCCTTCAGCAGATTTGGGAAGAAGGTGGTGGTTCCCCACAGCCTGTAGGCACCCAGGATCCGCAGCCAACACACTGGACTGAGGTCCTTGCAGTAGGTTCTGAACCTCTCATGTCCCCTGGCAGTGCCCATCAAAGTGCCCCCACCTTGTGCTCCATTTTGTCTCCTAATAGATGGAAATGTTTAATTTGATAAGTTAATCAGAAAAAAAGTGTTGCAAAAAACTGAATGTGTTTATAGATTCTTATAAGGTCTGTCTGGAAAAAGTCCAGCCATTGTTAATATAACATGAACAGTTTACACAACATGGATGTAACCTGGCAGCCAAGGAGAGTACACTGGAATGCTCATTCATGAACAGTGATAACTTCACCGTACTAGTCATTGGGCCCCATAGCTGCTGTTGAGTGAGCATGGGTACTGGGTGGCCATTGCATTCAAAATGACTGAGTGAGCAGAGCTGTGAATCTGCATTTGATTTTGCATTAAGCTTGACATTCCTTCATGGAAACTACTTGGATGATTCAGAAGGTGCACCTATGAGCAATGCACCTGCTCATGCACCATGTCTTATACAGAGTTTTTTGGTGAAATATCAAATCACCCAGGTGACTCAGCCCCACCGTAGCCCAGATATGACACCCTGTGACTCCTGGCTTTTCCCCAAACTAAAATCGTCTTTGAAAAAGAAGAGATTTCAGACCATCAGTGAGATTCAGGGAAATACGATGGGGCAGCTAATGGCTATTGAGAGAACTGCGTGAGGTCTCAAAAACCCTACTTTGAGGGAGACTGAGGCATCATTATCCTATGTACAATGTTTTCTGTACCTTGTATCTTCTTCAATAAATGTCTATTTTTCATATTACATGGCTGGATACCTTCTGCACAGACCTCATATTCTCAACTGACTCTCTTAGAGAATTTGGTTGCACGGAGCAGGAAGTAACCCTAGGCACTTAAGCAGAAAGCTCAGTTAATGAAAGCACAGGCAGTTGCTCACAGCGTGGGCAGAGGTAATTTCTTCTCTATCACCACCTCAGGTGACTGGACACTTGGCACTGCTCCCTTGGACTTGACTTGGCCACAGCACCTGTGGGTCATCTCCACAGTGACCTGGGCCTTTGTACCACTTCTTTAAGACAGACAGTCCTGGGCTGCAACATTTGGTTGGAGCACCAGGTCCTGGGCTTCTTGCCAGCTTTCAGGAGGTGGGGATGGGCCATCCATAAATTTCATTTCTGTAGTGAAATGTGGAAACTTTTTTTCCTATTTTAGGATTCCTCCTAAATAAGAAGAGAGTTCAATGTGAGCGGTCTAAAAGAACAGCTGTTTACTGCAGTAATATTGTGATTATTCATAAGGACCTCCCAAGACAAGTTCCTAAGCCGAGAGTGCCTCTCCTGAGGATTTCAGGTACTGTGACAGAGGGGTGGGGAGACTTGCCCCATCTCCTAGGCAAAAGCCCTGAGTCAGAGCTCAGTTCTGAATATAGATCCAAGTGCTGTTGACGGCACTGGCCTCATCACGTACCTTGCACTTAGCTAATGTTCAACCAATATTTGCTAAGTGAATGAGTGAATCATTAGGTCTTTCACTATGCAATCACCTTCCTCAAGTCTACATGAAAAAGGGCAGGATAAAATTATCAACAGTAAAATCTGAGAGTTTGGGGGTAAGTTATTTAATCTCTCTAGATTGTAGTCTCCTTATCTTGTGAGATAAAACACTGGTTGATGTCTAAGAACTTCCTTTTGTGTAAGAATGTTGATCACTTGTAAGATAATAGGAAATTTGAACACTGATTAGATAACTTGGTGACGTTAAGGAATTACTATTAACTATTTTTTAGGTGAGATAATGATAGGGTTTGGTTTTTAAAGTGTCCTCTTTTTTTGTTTGTTTTCTAATCCTCACCTGAGGATATGTTTTACTGGTTTTAGACAGAGAGAGAGAGGGAGAGAGAGAGAGAGAGAGAGAGAGAGAGAGAGAGAGAGGGAGGGAGGGAGGGAGGAGAGGGAGAGAGACAGACAGACAGACAGACTGATGTGAGAGAGAAACATCAGTCGATTGCCTACTGTGCACATGCCAACCAGGAATAGAACCTGCAGCCTAGGTATTGAGCCCTGACTGGGAACTGAACCTGCAACTTTTGGGTGTATGGGACAATGTTCCAAGCAAATGAGCCACCTGGCCAGGGCCAGTGTCTTTGTTTTTTAAAGATCCATGCTGAAATAATTTTGGGTGAAATGATATGGTGTCTGGGATTTGCTTTATAATTCGAGGAAGGAAGCAGGAAGGCAAATAGGTGAGAGTCCGTGAGTTAATCATTGTTAAGGCTTGGCAATGTGAACATGAGGGTTTGTTTCCATCTTTTGTCCACATTTTAAATGTTTGAAAATGTCTGTAATAAAAAATTTTTTAAAATACAACTCTCCCCACAGCCTCTGTAGTGCCCATCACAGTCAAAACTTGCGGTGGGCCCTGCTAGTTGCCTACCTGGATGGCATCTCTTGCTCCCTGGGTCTTTCCTAACAGAAGCCCCAGTTTCACCCACCTGCCCATTCTTCCACACACAGACCCAGTGACTCAAGGCAAGGTGACCCCCATCCTCTCATTAGTCTGAGCCGATCTGGGCAAGCCCAGCCTTCTTGCCGATGAATGATTGGTTCTGGAAGGACACGGGAGGCAAGGAGAGGTGTGCCAGGGCTTCTGAGAGGGTCCTCCCTACTCTCCTGGAAGGCCTCTGAAGGCGGCACTGCTTTCCGCAGATGCCACCATCAGCTGTGCTTTATCCTAGACTAGCCCTGGGAGGAAGCCGACATGCTGGACAGTGGAGCAGAGAGAGAGAGAAAATCGACTCCTTGATACAAATGCTGAGCTGCTGGAACAAACAACCCTGAAGCCCACCCTCTCTCTGGACTCTATTACATGATACAATTAATAACTGTTCTTACTGGTGGAGCCAATATGATTTTACAACCTAGAGTATCCTAACAGATATAGCGCTCAGCAAACACTCACCCTGACTATGGTGGAATGAGGATGGTCCTGAATCTACCTCCATTGTTTGAGGTGTAGGATGGAACTGTGTAGGGGGAAAGGGGCAGCAGTAGGAGGGGTCTGTCGGAAGGTGGAGACCCTGGCATACCCTGGCACCATTCCTGGTCCAGACGGACAATTGTCCCTGAGGTCAGCCCACCCTGCTTTGAGTGACACTAACCTGCAGCTCCAGAGCAAGTGTCAGCAACAGGAAAGCTGTGCCTGGCCCTTGCTGCCTTTAGAACACGGTGGCGCCTGTTCCTTGGCAGAACATTCCCCACAAAAATTCTGCAAATTCATTTTTATTAAGAAGGAATCCTGGAGGAGGGCCATGCACAGGAGCAGGCGGCAGGGGAGGCCTGCAGCCAGCGGAGGGGTCTGACTCTGCCCGCACGTTAGAGATGGACTCGCTGGTCTTCTCCTTCATCCAGGTGGCCCACTTCCCCCATCCTTCTTCAGGGGACTTGAAATCCAGGGGATGGCACCCTTGAATTGAGCCTGGGTTTACTCACAAAGCAGAGAACTTCTCTGTAGTTTTTCAGTGAAAGCTAATTAAGCTCTAACTGCAGGGAACCTCAGAGTAGGGGTGCTACTGGACTCTCCTTTCTCCCATACCCACTGCGGGCAGTCAAGCCCCGAATTTTCACCCTATTACTTCCCAGTCTCTTGCTGAGTCATCCCCCGCCCCCTTTCACCTTCTCTGCCACTGCCCCAGTGCAAATCATCACCACCTCTCCCCCATGCCATGATTGCAATCTAGGGGTGTCCAACTCATTTTCACCAGGGTCCACATCATTATTTCACCCACTATAATGAACTTCTTCAGTAAATTTTTCTAAGATGAGACTTTCTCATGACAGTATAAGGAAGGGGTGCCAAACTCATTTTCACTGGGGGCCACATCAGCCTCGTGGTTGCCTTCACAGGGCTGAATGTAATTTTAGGACTGTATAAATGCAACTACTCCTTCCCAGTTAAGCGAGAGCTCAGCACTGCCGCTGAGTAGAAACAAGGTGCCCGACTGGATAAAACAAGGTGCCAGCCGGATTTGGCCCGCGGGCCTTGTGTTGGTACCTGTGCAACAGTCCAACCGTCTCCCTGAATTGATTCCTGCTTCTTCCAACCCCTTTCTCTCCACAACAGCTGGAGTGATCCCCTAAATATGCAAATCTGATGGTGTCTTTTCCTTTCTAGAACCCATCAATTGTTGCCCACTGTCAATCACGTTCTCCCAGCCTCTGCCTACTGCCCCCCACCCCTCGACTCCAGCCCCACCCCCTCCCTCCCCTGTTGTCTCCGCTCTGGAATCCGGTTATCAGAGTTCCTTAAACACACCTGCGCACTCACCTCAGGACTTTCCACCTAAGCTGCCCCTCCCCCGCCCCGTGCGGGCAGAGCTCTCTGCTCTACAGCCCTCCCCCTCATTTCCACACGCCCCGCTCCTTTAGGTCTTCACTTAAATACCACTTCCTTGGAGAAAAGGCTGCTTACTCTATCTCCCACGCCCAGCCCAGTTTATGTGAGCCCACAGCATCCTGTTCTTCTCTTTTTTTAATAGTCAATATAACTGGAAAGTATTGCTTAATGTCTTTCTTTCCCACTAGATTTTAAGCATAAAGAGGGTAGAGATTTTGTCCACGTAGCTCCACACCATCCTGAACACCTGTCACCACGCCTGGCCCGCAGTTGATGATTCTTAAATAAGTATCGGCTGGCTGCCTGTCAGGTGTAGCTACTGTTGAGGCCTCCCAGGAATATGTTCCCAATCACCCCTAAAAACCCCTTACACGCCCATGGAGCTACACACCTGCCATTCCTGAGGACAGCTCATGAAGACAACCAGGTGTAAACAAATCGGGGCCACTGGGAACCTGCAAGCAATGTTGTTGCCATACAGGGAAAAACGGCTTATTAGAATTCAGAAAGTTCCCCTCACAGACTCGTTTCTCACTGTTTGTTCTAAAATGTTTTGCATGACTCAAAGATTCAGACCACGGACTTGAAACAGAAAGCAAGGCCGAGAGGAAGAAAGGCCGGCGCCGTTTCCCGTTCCCCCACGGCACACATCAGGGGAGGCAGCGTCCTGTCCTCCTGCTTCCTCAGCAGTAGCACAAGCCTTTAAGTCCCCAACGGTGCGCTCTCACCTGGGCTGCAGGGAGAGCTGTGGCGGGAGAAGCCACAGCTACGATGCCCAGGCGTGGGGACCACGCGAAGTGGCACAGGTGGGAACCGCTGGTCCCTCCTCTCGAGACAAGGGCATTGGAGGAGCTCCGTGTCCCGAAGGGAGGTGTGACCCTGGGGCAGGAGCCGGTGCGTGTGCGCCCTCCTCGACACAAGGCCGTCAGGGTTATGGGAGACTCACCCCTACTCTGGGTGTGAGAACACCCATTTCTCTTCAGAAAAAGACACTGGAAATTGATTGTCATGTCTCCCTCTGACCAAGTCATGGAGTCACTTTCTCCTGGTGGGGTGAGAGCAGCCAGGCCCCGGCCACGTCAGTCCAGTGGCAGCTTCCTGGACCCAGCCAGGTGGCTAAGGCACCATGGCCTCCCAGAGGTGGGCCTGACCACAGGGACCCTGGGAGCTTGCCATATTGGAAACGGGGAACGCAGAGGGTCTCAGACACAGAGACAGATTGTCAAAGGGCGTAGCGGGCGGCGAGATTCAGCAGGCCTGCTCTTGAATTCAGGCCGTGTGACCAAAACTCCCTACCTTTCTGAGGTTCACTGTCCCGAGGTTACACAGGTCTTGCTGGGGACCTGAGGAGAAATGCACGTGGATTCCATGGCATACGGGTGGCTCTGGTTTCAAGAGGCAACTCGAACGATTATTACACAGAGGCTGAGCTTGAGAACCTAACCCCGCTCCTCCCATCTGACCATGCTGCGCTCAGAGCGGTTTCCCCACCGCACAGGCCAGTCCTGCCGGCTCTCGGCACGAAGCTTCCCGGACCTCCCGAGGCCCCACGGGAACTTCTCATCCGCTGAAGCTTCCCCAACGGGACGAGGACACGCTCCAGAGCAAGAGATGCAATTTCTCTTAAGTCCCTTGCTCTATTTTAAAAATTCATGTGAATTTTTGTTTCTTATTCTGTGACACCTTCATGCTTATTTTAATATAAATATGTTATTTTCTTCAAATATTCAAATTAAATGTACAATTCTAAGAAGTTCTTGGGAGAAGGGGGCAGGTGGTGAGGACGAGGAAGGAGGGCTTGGCCCCTTACATTCTGAAATTTGTTTAATTCTCCCTATAGCCCTATAAGCTAGAAACTTTTCTTTTTGTGAAAGAATTGAAACATTATAGCTTTATAAAACAGCATGTGAGCATCCCCACAGTGTTAACTCCCTGAAAGAATCCCATGTAAACAACATCTGTGGTCCTTTTCTTGCCACTGACCTTACAGTGTGTGGAGCATCCGGCTCCCTGGGTCTGTGAGGTGTCTCACGTGTACGGACCCTTGCAGGCACGGTCCCTACCCTTTCAATGGATGGCAGTGGCCTCCTGCCTAGATCCCATTCCGTTAATTAAATGTGAGCTTTGGCCTGAAGTCAGCTCTGCCGTAAGCCGAGAGAAGTGATAGGAGGGACACTTCTTAAGGCCCTGCCTGATCTTTGCTTTAGAAGTCGCTGA